TGATACACGCGTATCAAGCTCACCTATTCGACGTAGGTATGTCTTGCACTTTCTTTTTAATGCAACACAGAATGTGATATATGATACTATATTTCTTTTCGTTATATTGTTTGTGGTTACTATACTTTGTATTGCAATTAGACTTTAATCTTCATAAATTAGTATCAAGTTCGCATAAAGAGTGAATGAGCGAACCCAATGACTATATTTTCTGGCTCCGCCCCTGCTACCATATGGATGTCGCCGCTGTCACACCATCTCCACTTAAACAAACTAGCAAGCAAATCCATCACCCATCACGGAGTAGAACGTTGTGTCGAGGAATGATCTGAAGCTTTATTTACAACTTATAACTGATGACACGAATTAGCAGCAAAAGATGGTATAATAATGCATGTGTCAGTATGATATAAGGTCCATATCAATTGTGTACTCTGTCATTTTATACTCAAAAAGTAGCTAATGAGCGTTAGGTAAGCGAAGAATATTTTATCCGCTCCATCTCGAAGTAGTTAATGTGCGTTAGGTAAGCAAAAGATATTTTTTTATACGCTCCACCTCAAAGTAGTTAATTTGGGTTAAGTAAGCGAAGATTTTTATCTGCTCCACACTCAGAAGGAGTCAGACCGGTCATTTTCTTTCCTGTCTCACAAAGCAACTAAGGCAAAGCTTTTCCTCCACTCGATCTCCTCAGGCGAAATTCTGGATTCATTTTCCTTCTGTGTGCCACTCCGGCAATCAGTGGTGGGAAGTGGAATATTGCCTGCTCCGTCTAGTAGATAGGTTAGGATTAATCCTCGCAGGGGTAACGCTCGGACGGATTGCGATGCTTCTTCTTTGAGTCGGCTTTGATAGATGGAGCTCCATCGTAGATTTCTGTTAACTCCTCAAGGCCGCGAGGTTAGGGTTCCTCATGGTGCGTACGCGATGACAATATATATTTGGTGCCAGATTCTTCGGATCGATTGAAGGCTTCAACAACAACGACTGCGGCTACGGGGCATTGGTCCTTAGGGGCACGTCCACAAAGACTTCCCGGCTGTCATCAGCAGGTCAGACCGGCTCTGGTATGGGAGATGTGTCAGTGACTTGTTCTAGCAGCATCAAGGGTCATTCAATGGTCCAAGGTCCTCGATGTAAATCTTTATTATGTTTTGGGTACTTTGTACTTTTGATCAACCTTTAGAGCTGAGTCATTTTCAGAAAAACTTTGAAGGAAACAAGCAAAGCAACGAAGGGAGACATGAGGCAAGATAAGGGTGTGGTGGCCCCACAGCTAGCCTTTCTCTTCTCTCCACAGCTATAGGTTAGCACGTGAACCAAAGAGGAGAGATCTTTCTATAAATATACCCCTACATCGTCCAGCCACAAGACATACAAACTAAGACAAGCTTGGTGCCTTGCTCTAGCTAGCCGTCCTACTATATCAACTTTAAGCATTAGTGTTCTCCCCACCACTCACCCATGGCCAGTTTCCAGATTACACCATTCGCTGGACTCTTGGAGAACACCGAGTTTAACTTCCATAGCTTGTACTTGCACAACATTTCTTCTGGACCAAACCCAACCAGAGGAGCCATAATAAACGACAATGCTGTCAATGGGTGGGGCCAGACATTCGTTGTCGACTGGACAATATATGATGGCACTGGCCATGGCGCGAAGCTAGTTGGTCGTGCCCAAGGCCAGCAAATCTATGCTAGTAAATGGAGTCATTCCGTCACCCTTGAGTTCATGGATGGAAGGTATGTGTACATGTTGTTTTTATTTTCCATGTGTATTTAGGTATATTGCTTGATTTCATAGTTTTACAACGTAGGCTAAAGTTCACAGAGAGTACACTTGCCCCTTTTTTCCGTTGTAATTCTGAGCATCCGATGCTAGCTCTCGCTTTTCAGAAAGAAAGAAGAGCTTACATAAGGTTTTGTAGGTGAACGGCAACATCTCTGTGCATTCGGGCACGGGCGAACTAAGCTTTAGCTTCTTGTTAGGATACTAAAAGTCCCATTGCACAGGTTTAAGGGCTCCACGCTCCAGTTAATGGGACTCTCAGCGACGTTTGAGCAACCAAGTGAGTGGTCTATCACTGGCGGGACAGGTGATCTTGCGATGGCGCGTGGTGTAGTCAAGGTAAAATTCCATGAAGTAGTAGAGGATGGAGACACATGGGAGCTTAGCTTCCATGGATTTTGCAGCATGCAGGTGAGGAGAGTATTTATTTATTAGTTGAAGCTTTTTTTTGATGCTTTAATTATGTCCAAGTTCATCAACCAATTCAATTTTCGGTACCGATGCTTGTTGCCCAGCCGTTAAGAATATAGTTAAGCTATCTGATGCGGATCATATTTATTGCTTGTCCATGATATAGAGCTTGCCCACTCTCACAAAGGCTGGCCCATGGGGTGGACATGGTGGTTCAGGTACGGACTCAGAACAGCCATGGCGCATAGAAAGTATGGCGATCGTCCATGAGGGGACAATTGCTAAGTTTTCATGCACTTATGTTGACCTGTCTGGCAAGAGGCGCACAACGGGTTCTTGGGGTGGTGGTAACGGTATCCCCACAAAGGTTTGTTTTTCATGCATGTTTTGGTTCTGGGATTGCTAATTTTTCATTACTTCAATAGAATGAGAACAGAGGGGAGACTCCCCCTGTCTTATTCTTATAGGAGATGAGAATACTTGAACCCGGGCCGGCGACAGCAACCTTTGTGCTGTCTACCACTCCACCCAGAAGAGCTTCTCATTACTTCGATGGATATAATTCATATAATCAATGTACTTAGCTAGCTGGGTTTGGCCGGTATTGTTTGTAGATTTTCCAAAATTGCAAGGTCAGTTGTTAATCAATGATTTCCTTTCGTTGACGTGTTGCAGGTCCAGCTGGGGCCTCGGGAGATTTTGAAAGCAGTGTCTGGAACACATGTCAGCCTTAACAATGGGCAGACTGTTATTGAGTCACTGAAGTTTGTCACGAACGAAGGAACATACGGACCATTTGGACGTACAACTGGTACGCCTTTCAATGCTGATGTGTCAGAAGACCAAAGCATCGCTGGCTTCTTTGGCCGTGCCGATGATACACAACTCATCGCATTTGGTATTTACACAGTTTGAATTATGTTAGTGCCTGCCCACGGTGATGCGCGCAGTTTCAGTTTTAGTTCAACCCAACGCTGTTTTCTTTGTTTAACTCGATATGATCGATGGAGTGTCCATCGGGACCTCCATATTGCAGTTTTTAACTCGCCCCCGGTATCTCGGTGCGTGCTTTGTCGTCACTCATTATGTTGATTAAATCTATTATGTTTGATGGTGAGAAATAAAATCCCCCCGTTCAGTGACGTGCAGTCTTCGTCGATGTTTCATTGAATTTATCTGTTTTCTTCCACTCATGAGTTGGTGATGGCGCCCGTAGACCCCATGCATGAATCATGTGCGTGCCCCACTAAGTCAAGTCTACGATGTCATCAGACTTTTCTGGACAGCAGCTTGAGGCTGAATAAACCAGGAAAATGTGTAGAGAATTGGCGACAACAAAGGATGCACCAGCAACGTGCTTTTGGAAGTTCTATGAAAGCTAATTTCACAGCAAGGGCATCGAGAGTTGATGTCCTGGACAAAGTTTATCTTCTGTTAATTCAGTCAACACTGATTTGATGCATAGCAATTTGAGCAAGTTGTATAAATTGCCTGCAATACTAGTAAAAGCGGACATGCTACTGGAAATTCTAGCACAGCTAAAGTTAAAGAAAGGATAGCAATTAGACGACTTTGATGTCCTGAACAAAGTTTTCAAGATGTCCTTTAATCATTCTAGAAATTAGACAAGCTTTGAAAGACTTTGCTATACTGGAAATTCTAGCAAAGCAAAAGCTAAAGTGAAAGATATGATAGGGATAGCGATTAGACAGACTTTGCTATCCTCGATAAAGTTTTCAAGATGTCTGTTGATTATTCTTGTGACTAGACAGGCTTTACAAGACTTTGCTATACTGGAAATTCCAGTGGAGCTAAAGCTAAAGTGAAAGAAAGGATATCAAGAGGAAGAGACTGCATTGCGCTTATTCTGAGACTGCCCTTTCACCCTCAGATGCTGGGACATGCTTACACCACACAAAAAGAGAGACACATGTGTAATACATGAAGTAATGCTAGCTCTAGCTGAATTACGAAAATAAGTGGGTATGAACCTAATCATTATGTCTTTCTGGCGATTGGATGCAAAGAAATGATAAGATCTTCAGGCACATTAATCCAAGTTTTATATCCTGGGAAGTTCTACTCAAGAGAGATCTTGTTATACTACAACACAGAGTCAAGCTCAAATTCAAGCAAGCTTTTCAAGACTGGAGAAAAGCTCACTTTTACTTTCCTGATTGGTTACCATGATGTTTCCTAAGAAAGGCATTGGATAGTTTGGTGGGCTTTTTCTTTTTCTTTTACCTTCATATATATATATATACACTTTGATTTATTGAAAATATACCGTAGACCGATTGTTCTACGATCTCTTGCCTCAAAAATTGTAGCTAAGCTAAAGTAACTGCATGTAGAGCAAAAGACGAGTCAAGATGTAGCCACCACTGGAGGTAGTTGTACGATGTATGTTGACCATGACACTATTTTACTTACCAACTGTTTGACTCAATTATTCAAGCAGTTATTGTTTAGTACTTCCTATAAAGTTGTACTAAATCAGTGACATTTATTTTGAAACGGCGAGAGTACTGATCATTCAACCATGTCGCAGAATTCTTATATGTGCACATGGATGGGCCCTCTAACTGATATATCCTCTAAAGTCCGATGGCCCTCGGAGTGAAGCATTGATGCATAGAGCAAGTTGTACCAACTGCCTGCAGGAATAACAAAAAAGGAGTTAAGACGTAACAACTGCTGGAAGTTTTTTTTGAGCATCAGTACAGACACAAGCGCTCATATACACGCGCATATACTCACCCTTATGAACGCACACACGCACACCCTACCCCTATAAGCACCTCCGAGAGACTGAGCCGGCATATCATCTTGAGATTTACGAAGTCACCGTAGGCACTTCGTCGTCGACGGAAACGTCTCCTCCCACTGAAAGTGCATCGCCGGAAATCTTGAAATAAATCCAGAAATAATGCGAGCATCAGGATTTGAACCCTGGTGGGTTGGGGATACCACTGTCCACCTAACCAACTCAACCACAGGTTGATTCGCACAACTGCTGGAAGTTGTTGTACCTGTGGATATGTTGATCGACCATGACGTAACACCTACCACGATTTTGTGACTTAATTATTCTTTTCTTTTTTGATTGAGAATAAAATACTCGATTCTTCAAGCAGGTTGCAGCCTGATAGGCGTCCATCGGAAGTCGTAAATGGCCTGGGAATTGGGCAAGGCCCAAAAAGGCACGCCCATTGTAAAACAATTATTTTTCTTCTAGAAGTGCTGCAGTGACCATAGTTTTTACACATCATTATATCTGCAAAAACCAGTGATAAGTAAGGTGCCACAAAATGAAAATATGTATCTTAGCATGTGTGCCTAAATATTAGATCAAGAGGCACTCTTATTGCACTTGTCTCCAGCATCCTGGACATTTTAGCTGCAATGGAGCCTTTGTAAGGGCTCCTTTGGTTCAAAGGAATTCCATAGGATTTTAAAGGGTTAGAATCCTTCGGATCTTTTTCTACATTGGTTGGATTGAGTCATATAGGATCTTTTTCCTATGAAATCATGTGTACTAGATTTTACTGGAAATCTAGCATCCACTCTAACCTTTTTTTTTCACTTGCTTTGTTTTTTCTGTGACATCAAACACTATGTGTTAATCCTAAGGGATTCAAATGGGCATGCCACTTCAATCCTTTGTTTTTATTTTCTATTCCTGCATTTTGAGAATCATACGAATCAAAGAGGGCCTAAATTGTTGTTACTCAGTTATTCATGCATGATTGATTCATGTAACAATGAACCTCCGTGAGCTTACCCATGCGTGCGGTGGTCCAAATTCCAAACCACTTTATTATTCTTGCTAGTTGGCAGCATACGACAGCAATAGGTATGGTGACCCTTCTTAAAACTAGAAGCACACGTGGAAACAGTAAACATATAAGCAGACATCAGTGGCGGATACAGTGGGGGTTCCGTGGGTGCCTTGGCACCCCCTCAAAAAATGTAAAATCTTTTTTTATCTAGTACTCTTAGTTTAATTCTATGTGTATTATAAGGGTAGAATGATAAACTGGCATTTTTGTATGGATATACCAGACATTTTTGTTGTGAGTGAGAAGATTGGCACCTCTTGTGGTTAAGTCGTTAAGATCTAGTTATTATACTTTAAGAGGAGACTTACAGAATACAGACCGTATAGTATCCATTGATGGTACCTTGTTACGGTATGTATTTTCTGTAAATTTGAATTTTGCCGATGTACTAATGATCTATACCAAGGTTTTGGTTACCAAATGGGGCATTTTTACCGAGGGGGGCCGGTAAATGTGATTACCACGGTTACCACGAAATTTCGAGAGAAATTTGAACGAATTTCGAATGAAATTTATAATTGAATTTTGAATTCAAATTCTTTCAAATAGATATAGATAGCACTTGAACTTATATTTATCATAAAAGAGCTACAAGCTCAGTGGAACGTTGTTTACGCGCATGCTGTGAGGTGCTGCCACACTTTACTATACTTTGAGCGTTTGAATTAAAAAAATTCAAACAATCGAATTTTTTTGCTGGAAATGCCCATTTACCGAGGGGGACTGAAATATGCGGTAACCATGGTAAATCTCGAAATTTCGAGCGGTAACCAAAACCCTGATCTATACTACTCCCTTTGTATCAAAATATAAGAGGTTTTTAGATACGGAGGGAGTATATTGTAGTAAATTTTGAATTTTGAATTCATGGGCGGTGTACTGATGCAACTTTGAGTTTTGGCTTCCACGAAACATCGAGCATGAAAATAAATAATTGGCCAGCATTTGATGATAAGAAAATGGAGTACAATGTTGATGATAAAAAAAAGAAGGCACAGTGTCTCTGTGAGTCGGGACATGGTGTCACTGCCACACCATTGATTCCGTCGAGCTGGAGCTGGATGGCTCGCCGCGTCTGAGCAGACCGCCGCCGCTGCTGGCCTCCCCGGCCGAAGGTTCCTCGTTCCTGCTCCCCTGCCCCCTCCTCTCCCGTCCTCCCCACGGATCTGCACGGTGCATGGGACTCGCAGTTGTTATGCGCCACCAGGATGGCTCGCTGCATCTGACCAGACCTCCGGCTATCCGGGGCCGCTGGCAGCCGTTGCTGGGCAGCAGCGTCCTCCTTCCTACTCCCTACTGCCCCTCGGCATGGCCGCTTCCCCTGCCTCCCTACTCCCTCCTTCCTCGGCATGACAGCAGCGTCCGTCATGGCTTCACTCTCCGCCGCTTACGCTCAACACTGATAAGCTGCCGTCGGCTGTCCTCCGCAGGGCCGTTCTCCCTCGTGCCGCCAAATGCTACTCCGCTCGCCCCGCCCCGCCTCCGATCTGCGCCTCTGCTGCGGAGGTGCACGCCACCTGTTCGACCGCTGGTCCGTGCTTCTTGTTGGAATTTTGCTAGTAGGCCTTTGGCCCAAAGCCCAACTAAAATTCTGAAATTCTCTTGGCCCATTCATGCATACATGTGAGTGGAATGAATGAGGCTAAAGTTTAGTCCCACCTCATAAGTTGAGAGAGAGCTGCACCTCTTTATAAGGTGAGCTCTTCTACCACTTGTATGAGCATGAGAAGAGGAGACCTACACGCGCGCTCCTCCTCCTCGCTCGCCTCACCATGCCTCGTCACGACGTGGGTTGCGGGATTGAGCCGAGCCGAAGACAAAGCTATGCACGTTGTTTACTCCCACGACCTACCCGGCCCGCATTATATAGTCAGGCAGACGTCTACCCTAGCCACGGCCGCTTCGTATGGTTTCTCACCACCGTTCCAGATCATTGCACCGTCAAGCAAGTCTTCTCCATCCCTCCTTTCGGCGTGCACCGGGAGAAGGGACAGCAGGCCTCCGGAACCCCGCCTCTCGTGATCCTGTACGGGAGAGGGGCGATCAAGTTTTTGGGGAGCGCACTCGCGCGAC